TTTTCCAACTCATAAATAGTACCGGTAATACAAAGGTTATTCTCAAACAATAAAATATGAATAACTATTTAGTAACATAAAGCTGAAAGTTATAATTAGTTTATACAGTAATGTTACATGAAATTAAAATCATGTCTACAAACAAAATCTAAAAATAATTACTATATTAATATGATACTACGGTATATCTAAACATTATAACAAAATTACCAGTAAATAATAATTAGAGTACAATAGATAGATTATGATTAACTATATAATTAAACAGTGGGATCCGCATTTGTAGGTCGTATGGTTAGGGCCTGTGATAATGAAATAGTTTCGCAACGGCTGTCCATCAGGTAATCCATAATTCTAATGAAACTCATGTCACACAATGAATTGCATTGAAAACGCTTCATCGCCACCACTTTTATATACCGTTCCCTCAAATCTGAAATACGAAAACAAATGCAAAACTCATTACAAATACAAATAAGTCATACAAACCATTGGACTGGACGTCAAACGTGCACTTGTCGTACGAGTTGGGTCCACACATGTGAAGACTTTCGCAAAACTTAAGGCAATACTCAGCCGTGATTTTAATGAACAGCACCTGTAGTGAAGGGTCAGTACAGTACATGAGTTGTGTTATACAAGTAAACGGCAGTCCGATTGAGATATTAGTCTTGTTTTGTGTGCTATTTGTGGGAACGGCTGCCAAACGCAGGCCATCGGAACACAACTCTATGTTAATCGAGTCAACCCTATAGGTGCCGATCAGCAGGTATTCCGTACGCAAGACAAACTGATTATCAGTTTGAAAGCCAGTAATTGGTGACAATTGAGTGGAAATGGATCTCAGGATGTGGTCGTCCCTTGTTTTCTGTTTCTCGGATTCTCTAAACTTTTGTCTCAATTCTGTCAATTTATTCACAAGTGTTTGACGAAGTCTTTCCGAGTCATCCATACGGCGCTGGCATTCATCTAATCGTTTTGCCACAGTTTTCGATGTTTTCTGTGATTCTTGTGATAACTTCTTGTATTTTCTGTAATCATTGAGTTTAGCTTTCGTTTGCTTTAACTTTTGCCGCAAATCAACGATTCTTCGGCACTCATTGTCTGCAAAGATGTCATAAAAATATATCATAAAATTTATTATCAATTATATGACATCTAATTCACAAATACCTTCATATTGTTCACATTTATTCCGCAATTCCTGACATTTGGTCTCCAATTCCGTGTTCTTCTGAGTCAACAAATTCTTCTCGTCTTCCAAACGCTTGTAATTATTATCCAAATTCTGTGCCAATTGTTTCAACTCATTGTTTGCTGTCTTCAGGACATCGATGCAGTTGTGTCCGTCTTCTGTGGTGTCTCTACGGCCGCACTTATGACACACTTTATACTCACATGTCTTCAGATGAATGACCAATCGCTCCAATTCTGTCACTTCTGGACATCCATTGCATTCATTGTGGCATTTGATCCGCAATTTGTCGATAAAATTCTTGGCGGTCCGATTCACTTGAGCCACGACTTTGAGGCCTATGATCAGCACATTATTGTCATCAATATCACTGCGAGATCTCTTCCGGGAACCTGTGGTCAGTGATCGCCGACAATGGGGACACTTTCGACCACCGATTCCAGAGGTAACCGATTGTTTCAGACACTCGTGACAATAGGTGTGTTTGCAATGAGTGTCCATCGGGTTGTCCAGTATATTGAGACACAGACCACACTTAAGTTGATCCGCTAACTGATCCGACAGATCCACGAAACGACTCCTTTCGTGGCCAACCATTTGATTATCACTGAACTGTCTGTTAGGTTCAGTACTCAAACCAATTATGATTTATTGAAACTTTTGAACGTAAATAAAGGTTTACATCATTGAAAAATAGTGTAAATCAATACGAGTTTGATATGAGTTTTGCAAACTTATGCACTAATCTTAAGCAAAATGTTTAGACGTGTGTCTAAATTACATCAATTTATCACTCATTTCCTTAAGTCTTATCATTGATTATAACGATTAACAAAAATCGTTACACTTTTATATATTAAATTAATTAAATATTATTAATACAGTTTTTACTCAGTTCTCACACCAGTCTCTCTCTCTCTCTCTCTCTCTCTCTCTAATAGTTTTTGTGAATTACAATATTTATAAATCAATAAAACATAGTTTCTCATGATTCAATAATAATAATCTTATAAATTATAAGTTATAATAAACTACAACGCCTTTAAAAATATGTACTTAAAAGTATCAAATCTTAAAATTTAAATTACATTATATTTATTATAACTAATTTATTAAATGTTAAGTATATAAATAATCTGTAATATATTTTTTACATAATATTTAGCATAGTTTTTATACAAATTATTATTATAATTATATTATTTTAATAGTGATACAAAAGTTTGAATTAAAATCACAGTAAAATCACTTTGAATTAAAAAGTACCAAAACAACAACTAATAATACATGTAATATAAGCAAATATTAAATGCCTTTATTGTACAGTAAAAATTATTTGCAAATTCTAGCATATTTATATTTTATTAAAATATTGTTTAATCAAATGATAGCTCAATAATCTTAAGCATATAAATGACAATCATTGCCACAATTTGGTAGCACTTGAAGTGATTCAATAGGAATAGGAATCCGAAGTAAAAGCCGACTTCATTGCGGCCCAACTTCTCGATGAATGCCATCAACTGTTTGGGGATAAAATGTACAGAATTACAGAATATTCCGATACATGTCTTATACTAACCTTATATTTAACGCAAACATTGCGTGTATTCAATACGAACGACAAATTGTTGAGACATTTATACGACATGAATGCCTGGTGGCTAACACTGGACACAATACTCAAGTAAAATATGAGCACAAATAGACACGACATTAACGGGTAAATCAATATAATTCTCGGTATGATAGGCATCACGGAATAGATTTGGGCGAAAAACATGGCGTTTGTCAGTGATATGAAATAAACCATAAATATAAACGAGAATTTGGACCAAAATATATCATTGAATTCATCGATCTCTTTGTGAATTAAATCCAGTGTTTTAATCGCGAAATTAACAAACCTGTCGTTACACTCGCCTAAATCGATCATTAATTCAATTTTGCGATTCATTTGCCTCAGTTTGGCCTTATGGTAGAAACAGATCACATAGAAGTAGGTATGCGCCCAATGGTTTATATTAAAGGCATAGTGAATGCCCAGGGCGTTCATCAGTGACCAGGTCAGCCCGTAGTAGATAACATCGGGGAAAGTCATATGAATATACATCTGAATGAATATTAACACGAATATAACACTTCCGATGGCTTTGGTATTCAATTCTGTGTTAATGAACCAGAATTTGGATTTCTTAAGAAGTTTCTCGATCTCCTGCTCGTCGATTAGGCCAACGCTCGCTGGGGTCACCAAACCGGCTATCATACGGAATGGTCGCAGAAATGGGGGACTAGTATTGCGTTTGTATAGCATGTAAAGCAGTGCCTGTGTCCCAATAGTCAGCATAAAGTACTGGGAAAGACCGAAATTAAATTGGATTTTAATGTTAATAAATGTGGAATATTCGCCAAAATATACGGTCAACCGTTCGCTGTGTTTGGGTATAAATATGGCCAAAAGGCATCGCAAACAGTTCATTGTTTGCACCGTTAACAT